GGGTCCCCTTTGTTCAAAAAAGAAAGATAATGGTTGGCTTTGCTAGTGGATGGTTGTCAACATCAAAGAATCCACTAGTCAGTTTCAATAGCCCAACACCATAAAATTGTTCCCAAGCTTTTTTAGGACAGATGTTGACCCTTTAGCCAACCACATACTAGTTCTGTATAATTTGGATTAGATATAAAGCTTGTTGTGGTGAGCCATGATTGTCACTAAATCACTCTCAAACACTAATCAATCATTATCTTCAGTGCCAAAGCTCCACGGCAAACCTTATCAAAACCACCAAATCTCATGTTGACTTGGCTTCTTTTCTATGGCCAAAGAATTGTGTGAATCGGTTATTTTAGAAATATAATTAAAAGTTAATTTTTGACTTTTAATTTATTTTAGATTATATTATCTTTTTATTTTTTTATATATTTTTTTAAAAAAAATCATTTTAAGTTAAAAAATTAATTTTTAACCAACTTCTCAAAACAACGAAAATGTTTACAACTTTAATGGATAGAATACACTTTGACCATTTTATGTTTGGGCATTTTTTAATTTTGAGCCCTTTAAGTTATATTTTTTCACTTTGACCCTTAATATTTAAATTATCAATTTATTCTTAAAATTAACTTCTATTCAAAAATATCACATTATTTATCATATAATATAAAAATATATACTATATTTGGGATTTGGATTTGTGTTAGAGGTATGAGGTATATATAATAAAACATTTTTATATCACACAACTGTCAATGTTTTATTTTCTGTCTAATTATAGATATGAATTAACTTTTGAAATAAATTAAGAAAAACTTGAAACATAAAGAGCTAAAATGAGAAAAAATAAATTTTAAGAACCAAAGTAAAAAAATGGCCAAACATAGAAAAAAAAGAAGAAAAAAGGAAAGCATAATTTTTCAAATTTTAATTATTAACATTTATAAACTTTACCACTAATTTGAAAATATTTTTGAAAAGTTAACACTGTTTTAATTCTCCCAAAATAATATCATGCGTTGAAGATTTTTGTTCACTTAGAGATTTTGTGATTTATGAATAATAAAGAATTAGTGAAATTTAATTTTATAACTACAATCTATCTATACTATATTGGACCATTTGGTAGAGTTATGGAAAAGTGATTATGGATTATAGTTTAACAATTATGGCTTATAACTGTGAACATAAACTGTTAACATGTTTGGTGCAGCTGTAGGATTATGGATTTAAACAGTAGAATAGTGTTTGGTTAATAAGCTGTAAAATAAATTTTTACTGTGTAATTGTCCATTTTGCCCTTATATGATATAAAAATGATTATTTTGTCATTTTTTCAGCTTTAATTTTAAAAAAATTATTTCATTAATAAAAGTTAATATAATTAGTATTACAAAAGTTAATATAATTAGCATCAATTAATAATAGTTTCAATTAGTATAATTTTTTTCATTTTTTCATTACAAATTAATTAGTGTCAATTAATGGCTTAATTACCATCAATTAATACTAAAGTTCTTAATATTATCAATTAGTATAATTTTTTTTCATTTTTTCATTATAAATGAATTAGGTGTCAATTAATGGCTTAATTAGTATCAATTAATACTAAAATTAATAATAGTATCAATTAGTATAAATTTTTTCATTTTTTTATCACAAATTAATTAGTGTCAATTAATGGCTTAATTACCATCAATTAATACTAAAATTATTAATAGTATCAATTAGTATAATTTTTTTCATTTTTTCATTATGAATGAATTAGGTGTCAAGTAATGGCTTAATTACCATCAATTAATACTAGATTATTAATAGTATCAATTAGTATAATTTTTTTCATTTTTTCATTATGAATGAATTAGGTGTCAACTAATGGCTTAAGTACCATCAATTAATACTAAAATTAATAATAGTATCAATTAGTATAATTTTTTTCATTTTTTCATTACAAATGAATTAGGTGTCAATTTTTTTCATTTTTTCATTTTTTCATTACAAATGAATTAGGTATCAATTAATATTTTTGTTTTCATTACAAATTATGAATTAGCATCAATTAATATAAAATTTATTTTATTAATGGCTAAAATACTTAATTATTATTATTATTATTATTTATTAAAAAAACACTGAAAACCTCAACAAAAAAAAATGAACATTGAAACCCTAGCTCCGGCAATCACAGCGGCGCTAGGGTTTGAGATCACCTTGCACAGCCGATCGCGATGGGGGGGGACGACGACGGAGGCCAAGATCTTCATCTTCATCTTCTAGGCCAGATCTTCATCTTCTTGTCTTCTCCGACGTTGATCGAGGCTGTCGAAAGCTAGGTTTGATTGAGGCTGTTGCGACGGAGGCCAGCAGGTGTTGATTGTCTTCCCTCAGATTTCGACACCGCCAAGTCGACAGCTCGGTTTCCATCACCCTTCGCCACCGCGAGCCTCTCTAGGGCGGTGATTGTCACTCTTAATGAATTGTCCTCCTTCAGATTTGGAGCGAAGATAGATCACTTATTAGTCATGATTTTATTACATAGATCTAAATCCGAACACAAACAGAGAGAGACAGAGCTAGGGTTCGCCGAAAATCACCTCCCTCACCAGAAATCGCCTCTCTGGTTTGGGCGAGGGACAGAAATGAGTGAGTTTGGTTTATATACATGGCACACTTGTAATAACTTGAAAGTGTGAAGGACATTGAAGTCATTTTGCTCCTCAAATTTCAGTTGCGCGCTTAAGCTAAATTCCAAAACCATCTCCTCCCCCACTTAAAAAATAATCACTTTTTTGACTTAATTTAAGCTAAAAGTTGATCACTTGAACTCACCAAACACACAAAAATCACTTAATTTAAGCTGAAAATTGAAATAAGCTGGATTTAAGTTCTACCAAACACTATTATACCAAAAATTTCATCTAAGAGGTGAGTTTGGATTCCTTAAACCCAATTTTTTATTTTATTTTTTTATTGATTTTAAAAGTATTTGTAGGCTATTCCTAAACCATAAAATTCAAAATTATTTAATGCAATTTTAAAAGTTGTCCGTCACATTTGAAAAACAGAGCTGCTACAGGGCTCGAAATCTTCAGGCTCGAATCTGCCCCAAATCCAAAACGACGTCGTTTTGGAAAAAATTTTTCTTTCTTTTCTTTTTTCTTTCGTTTTGGAATTTTCTCTTTCGAAGATGAAAAGAAAACAGAAGTAGAAGTAGAAAGAAAGAAGAAGAAGAAGAAGATCCAGTAGCCAACCTCTTCATCAACAGCCAAAATCTTCATCAACATCTTCAGATCATCAACAGCCAACATCTTCATCAACATCTTCATTTTCACCAAGATCCAGTAGAAAAAAAAAATATATATATATATATAGTTAAACAAGAATTGTATTCACATTAAACAAACTGGTTGCAGTATGTGCATCAACAGCGCTGAACGGATCATCTAAGAGATACACATCTGCATCTTGATATAGTGCACGTGCAAGTTGAACCCGTTGCTTCTGGCCACCACTGAGATTAACACCTCGTTCTCCAATTATAGTGCAATCACCAAATGGAAGCAACTCGAGATCTTTTATTAGGGAACACTTTTCAAGTACTTCGTGGTATCTATGTTTATCCATGTTGGACCCAAAGAGAATATTTTCTTGTATTGTCCCTGTCAAAACGACGGCTGTTTGAGAAACATAGGCAACCTTTCCATGTACTTGAACCTAGAAAATTAAGCAACATGAATACCAGTATATAAGCCATTTAGGCTTGAACAAATTATTTCTAAATTGGAAATCTTTTTAGGTTTAGTTTCAAGCTTCTTATACTTTTAAATATTTAGAGAACTTTAACATGTCAATGTGAATATTCACATTGTCAACGGGTCGGGTCGGGTCGGGTCAGGCCCGCCCCGGGCTGCGGGCGGGCTTTTGGCCGCCCATGGGCCGCGGCCAATTTTATACTCTTATCAATGTGAATTTTAACATGTCAATGTGAATATTCACATTGTCAACGGGCCAGGCCCGCCCTGGCTCGCGGGCGGATTTCGGGCCGCCCACAAGCCAATTTACATTCCTACAAATGTGAATTTTAAAATATGAATGTTCGCATCATTAAATTGTTAATCGTTGAAAAAATATTTATAAGGGTATCAAAATTAAATATAAGGGCATAAATGTCCAAGAAAATAGTGTAAATCAAGAAAATAGATTTTATGGAATAAAACTATACATACATGGGACTAAATGGGTTAAAAAATTTCTTCATGGACTTCTGGGTTAAAACACTTCTAAATTGGACTTATCAATAAAAATCCCTTTTAATTATTAATATTGATAAAATTTACCATTAATATGTAATTAATTTTGTAAAAATATATTGGTCAGTTATTTCCAAAAAAAAAACACACACACACACACACACAATTCTCAGTGTCCTAAAATAAATCCAACCTTTAAAAAGAACATAAATCTCACACAATCATAGCTCTCCCTCTCCCCTAAAATAATTCTAATTAAAAGGAAACCTCTCTCATCTAACATAAAATCTATGCTATAAAGAGTTATATGGTTTAAAAAAAAAACCTCCAATTTTAATTGATATAATAAGAGTAATTAAGCCAATTCAAAATCCACAACCTAAAATTATGTAACATAAAATGGAAAATCAACCTTGTGTCCAACTGAAGACAAGAAAAAATCCCAAAAAATATAAATATAAATTTCAGCCCCAACAACTTACCAAAAAATAAAAAAAGAAACTTAGATAAGCCAAAATTTTCTAATAATAATTTACTACCACCAAAAAATGGGAAACTGTCCAAAGAACAAGTTCAAACATCACACATTCACACTACTCTTGACAGCCTTTTAACAGACTAAACCTTCTTGGTCTGTTAATAGTACTGAACAGAAGCTCAACATGATCTCAACTAAATGTTTATAATAAGCATGAGACACTACTGGGTTATTAGAGATCTCCTCATAGAAATAAACTTACATGCATATTTTCTCAAGGAGGATCAATCATCCATGGCAAAAGAAATCAAATGAAGTGCGTGGAGTTGAATAAGCCATGGACTGTATTTTCGAGGCTATAATGGTGTTTGCTGCTTCCGTGTGATGAATACCGTCCCAATATATATATTGAGATCCATCACTGCAGACCTGGTAACCGGGCTGACCACATGGCACCTTGATATTATAATTGTATGGAGGTCCTCCAAAGCCACAACAAGCCATCAATGGTTTTGAGAAACCTGAATAATTGCAACAATTATTGATCAAAAAAATGTACTCGTGGAATGCACTCTAGCTATCAATACTGTCAACCTTTTTTCTTTTTTCTTTTTTTTTCACTGTGTTTTTGAAAACATTCCTCAACAAATTTGGAACTTTAAGTACTCCAAATAAGTTGGATGTTTTCGTAGACGGAGTTTTGCGAACTTGCATTAGAGAAGAGATATTTCAATAAATAAGAAGAAATTCTTTTTTAGGGAAAATAAACTATGAATCCCACATCACTGGCACTATAGGCAGAACAAAAAAATTTCTATAATTAAGACGGTCCACAACAATTAAGTTTTTGCACGTGGAAGGGTATAAAATCTTCAGATCCACATTTTTGCCTGAGACTCAGATTGCAAGGTGTTCAGGTTTACTGCCTATACTCGTGCTCATCATCATGGTACCAGCATAAAAAAGGGGTAAGAATCTTGATAAGCTTACCATGTTTGGTATAGTTGGCAATGAGGTCATACTTGATGGAATATATATCTACATACACAATAGTAGCATCCACCATTTCAGATCTCATTTCCTCGCATAAATGGCGCAATCCTTCATTGAATATTCTTGCAGCAGCATTGTAACTAGAAAGGCATCCGTAGGGATCAACATCGTTGGGACGTCTTTGAACCATCGAAAGTTTTTGGGGAAGACAACCCAAGGGTCCAGTGTTGTGAATCCAAAATTTTCTGCCACCTTGACCATATATAGCCTGTATTTAATATTATAAACAAAAAATGAAAATTAATCAAGAATTCTTAACAGCTTAACTAATGCATTAATAGCAACTCCCTTGTAAAGCGATATTGTTGGAGAGTTTGAACTGCATTGTTGGGGCTCTTTCCTAACAACTTAAGCTTTTGAAATTAGTAGTAATCTAACATAGTATCAGAGCTTAAGTTTTGAGAGGTATTTGGTTCAAGTCTCTTTGTTCGCACATGTTTAGACGTTTACATCTCTATGTGCAAGAAAAGAGGTTGTTGATGATTGATAGGTATTATTGGGACCCTTTCCTACCAACTTAAGCTTTTGGAACTAGTAGTAATCTACAAATATATCATTCATTGAGAAAGCAAATGATGCCACAATTAGGGTGTAGAAAACTTTTTCGTTTGAACAAATCCACATTACAAACTAGAAACCTCCTTTTCTAAATTTGACCTAGAGATTCTCTTTTAATTTTAAAACATATTTCAATGAATTTTCACAAATATTGAATTTTAAAAAGAGAAAAAAAAAAAATGAGCCCTCAAAATTTTGAACAGAAAGTATTAGTTGGATAGTTTTTATTTGCAGTAGGCCCTTTTAATAAATTATGATGCATATCTTTATATGCTTCCAAATAAACAAATGATATAGCTCTTTAAGAAACTGATCAGTATTTGTATACTCACCTTCACAGCATTCTTGATCTCTATAATTATGGATGGGATCCTTTTGATAACTTGCACATATGAGAGATTCCGAGTGAATGAATCAGCAATGTCATTCTGTCCAATATCAATCATATACAGTGCACTGTTGAACCCTTCATCATTGATCAAATTTTTGAAACCTAAATGCAAGTTTAAATGTCCAATCAATTCATTATTCCAAATTAAAATTAAAAGCACAAAATAATAGTTATAGTTTTCGCAAGGCCAAACATAACACATTATTTAAGGACTAAAAATTTAAATCAACACTAAATTTGCTAAAGTTGACTTGAGTAGTTTAACAATCACTTCAAATGGTTGAAGATGGTGTTTACAACTTTATTCAGGCTATCTGTATAAATTTTATAGTTGGTATCATATGAAATGTGTGAGGTCTCTAATTAATGGAAATCGTTAGAGCAACAACTATAATATATGGTAGACAATGGAACAATAGCTAATATCGTGCAAGATATCCCTTTGGAAGTTGATTTTTTTTCATTTTTTTCGTCTTTATTAACCAAGCCAAGCCTTAAGTCCTATCAAATGGGATTGGCTAAATGAATCATTATTTTCCACTCGACCATATCCAAGGCCATTTCGTTAGTCAAATTAGGGAGGTTCATATCTCTATTTACTACACTAGCCCACGTTAATCTAGGTCTGTCCCTTCACTTAACACTCTCATCTGCCGTCACTGTATCATATCTCTCCGCTACTACCTCTGTTGGTCTTCGTTGTATATGACCAAATCATCTCAATCTATTCTCTCTCAACTTATCTTCTATCGGTACTACTCCTACCCATTCTCGAATATACTCATTCCTAACTCTATCTTTTCTAGTCTTGCCACACATCCACCTTAGCATCCTCATTTTAGCAACACTTATCTTATCTACATGTTGTTTCTTAGTTGTCCAACATTCCGATCCATACAACATCGCTTGTCTAATAACCGTTTTATAAAACTTTCCTTTTAGTCTACTGGGTACTTGTTTATCGTATAGTACTCTAGACGCACTCTTTCACTCAAGCCACTCCACCTTAATTCTGTGGACAACATCTGCACCAATCTCTCAAATTGTTGTAATAATTAATCCTAAATAACGAAAATGTTCACTCTTAGGTAGTTCTTAATCCTCAATCTTCACTTCTCTTTTGCTCCCATTGTGACTATTACTAAAATTACACTCTATATACTCTGTCTTAGTTCTGCTTATCCTAACTCTTTTAAATTCAATCGTTTTTCTCCAAATCTCTAACCTTTTTTTTTTCTTTTTTTTTATCAGAAAAATGAAACTTTATTAATAAAGAAAACAAAAAAAGCTAAAACTTACATCAATAAAAAAAGAAAGTGCAAAAAGTATCATCGCTAACCTTAATAATCCCAACTAGGTTGGCACCACTAAAGAAACACAATCATATGCGAGCACTAACCCAAAGATTAGTGAGAAGCCAATCAAGAGGAACAAAAAAAAAAAAAAAACAGAAAAAACAACAAAAACAGCCTACAGCAGTAGCATATTGCTGCAATTTAGCAGCCTACAACAGCAGACTTCACCCCAGCATCCAACATTGCACCAGATCCTTGATTATACTAGCCACACAGCAGGAACATGCTACCCCAGCAAACTCTTCCAGAACTTATAATCAATACACCAACATGCACTAAATAATTAACACCCAAGAGAACCTCAAACACAACAGCCAATACACCAGCATCTGTCCAAATTTGAGTTTGTGCTTGAATTTGCTCAGCAACAGAGGTTCTGCTTGACTTTACTCTGCCACAGATCAACATGCATTTGCTCTGAAACAAGTCCTTTGGGCCTTCTTGAAGAAGCAAAGTTTCTGCTTTGCAGCAGATCAGCAATTCAGCCTAATTTCCAAATCATTGAACCCCCATTTTTTATACAAACTTCACCAAGATTAACCCAAATTCTCATGCCAAAATTTTCAAAAAGCCCAGATACAGAGCAAGACCATAAACACCTGCTTTTACACACCAGGAGATTTGGATGTCATTGTAAATTGCAACGAACCCTGCCACCTAGACAAGCTTTTACTTGATTAAAATTGAAAATTAAGTCAGCCACAGAGTAATGGATGTCTTTTACTAAGGCCTTGAGTCGTAATGCAAGCCTAAGCTTTATAAGCTCACTCAAATCAAAGCAATTAGGTTGCGCTTCATTGTAAATGCAATCATTCCTCTGCTTCCAAAGTGACCAAAGAACAATAAGAGGTAAAGCATCCTAGATCCTCCTTTCAAGTCTTTTAAACTTGCCACCCTTCCACCAATGGAAAAGATTATCAATCGAACTAGGTATCACCCATTGAAGCCCCTACCATTGCATCATTTATGCCCAAATGTTCTAGGAAAATGGGCAGAAAAGAAGTAGATGAGTAGCTGGCTCAGGTTCTGTTCTGCAGAAAGTGCATAAAATGGTAGCATTGATACCAAAAATCCCAAATTTCTGAAGGAAAACAGCTGATTTGATTATGTCTCTCCATGCTAACCAGCTGAAGAATTGAATTTTGGAAGGGATGTCTTTATTCCATATGAATTTGCAGATTGAGAACTTGGGACCAAGAGAAGTAAAGCAAAATTTATACACATCAGCAGCTTTAAAAATACCTGAGTTTGAACCCAGCCAAACAGGGCTATCATTCACCCCATTCCTGAGTAAGGGAGCAGCTGATAATACATTTGACAACCTAGCAATCTCCTCATTTTCCCATTCATATGAAGCTCTTCTAAATGATAAATTCCAATCCCCTGAAGTTGATCTTCTTGCATAGTACAAAGGTAGCGTGTCTCCTTATTTGTTGATAATCTAAAAAGACTAGGAAATTCATATTTTAGGTAGAAGTTTCTACACTATTTATCCAGTCAAAATCTGACTCTTCTTCCATCACCAACTTTAATGAGAAAGTTGTCCAAAAAGAAATTGCAGAGGGGTTGCTTGTGAATGGTAAGGGAGATGACATCACTCCATACTCTAGAGTAATTGCAGGAAGTCCTCAAAGATGGTTGCCACCTGAATTCATCAATCACGTATTTGCTACGAAGTATCTTTCTCCAAAGAGCAGTGAAATCACTTCCAAACTTCCACCACCATTTTAATAAAAGGCTAGCATTAACATCAGTGATTCTTCTTATTCTTAATCCTCTAAGACTTGTGCTTTTAGTGACATCTATCCACTTCACCATATGAATTTTCTTCTTTAGGTCAAAACCTCCCCATAGGAAACTTGCTTCAATTTTCTCTATCTCTTTGGCCACTCCCACAGGCATTTTGAACAGGGATAGATAACAGATTGGTAGATGAGACAACACTGATTTGATTAAGGTAAGCCTACATGCGAAGGATAGTAGTCTTCTCTTCTACCCTGCTAGTCTTGACTTGATTTTGTCTAAAACAGGTTTCCAGGTGGACTTTCTTCCATGATTTTCACCAAGAGATAAACCCAAGAATTTTAATGGTAGCCCATTGCACTTTACAATTAAGGAGATCAGCAAAGCAAAAAAGTAACCCTTTATCAACACCAACTCCACATAATACACTTTCCTAACTATGTGTGCATCTTCTGACGCTTTGATGTATTACATTTCAAGTTAAGCATCGTTTTATTTAAGTATTGCTATTCACTGAGCCTGGCTTACTCTGTGTTATGTCTGTTTCTGTAGGTAACCAACCAGGTGGTCAGTCCCAGCCATGACACCCGTTTTCTTTTGTCAACTTTCGTGTGTCCAGGCACTGTGCAAGGCTACTTATTTTGTGAAGTCTGTTAAGATGTTAGCTTACTTTTTGATTGCCCACCTAAGGTCGAATGTGTATAACTTCAATAGTTGATGTATATGCCCAATCATAGGGCTGGGACTGTATATGTGTTGTTCAATACAAATTGAAATGCCCAAAGCATCACTATCAAATAAACAAGGCACTCATAATTTAAAAAAAGTACATTTAAAAAAATGAGAAATATTGCACGGGCATTCATAACAATATGAAACAACTACAGTTATTACACACATTTGAATTTCTATGAAGAAGCTTATAGAAGGAGAAGAAATAGTGGTATACTATACCTCAAAACACAAACATCCCAGTGTTCATACCATTGAAGAGAGAACCTCATTTGTTTTCCTTGTCCATCAACAGTATGCAAACTGCTTCCAATCATTTCGATTTTTCTTTTGCCTCTATGCGGTAATTTTTGCGTGAATTGTGAGATTGGTTGCAAAGAAATATCTAGTGGTAATCGTTAATGGTTTGCAGGCTTAAGCCCGACCACTTAGAATTGTGAGAGACATGGGAATTAGGAAATCGAATATTAATAACTAAAGCAGTTATATTTTGAAATCTGCATGAAGTAAAATTGTGAGAGATGTGGGAATTTGGAAGTTTGGTATTAGTATCTGAAGCATTTATTATTTGAAATTTGTTTGTTGTGACAATTAAATGTGTATTACGTGGGTGTATTATGTGGAATTGTTATTTTTACAAATTTGCCCATTGACAACTTCACTATCAGCTAAATTTCAAAATGGCTTCTGCCTTAATATAGTAGTATATATATGCTTTATAAATGCATTGTGAATGTATAGATATGTTGCTCTTATGTCTTTGTTTTTCTGAATTTAGAATTGCTGTGTGAATGCTTAAAAAATATTGACTGATAGAATAACTTCTTGTTCACTGATGGTTTGTAAGGCTGCTAGAAAATATGGGAAACGAAAGGAAGGCATAACCCTTAAACTTTTTTTTTACCTTATCTGTTAGGACTTTAGAAGAGCAAAAATTTGCACTCAATTAGTTCAAAAACAGCAATTTCCCGTAAGATAGAGTTGGATTTCTATCTTTTCTTTTTCTTTTTTCATTTATATTCTTCAATTCAGTTAACAACCACGTAAAACAGTTACAAAATTGACATATTTTTTATCAACAAAAAAATAAAAATATTTTCCAGATTAATTTTTTTTATAGGTATTTTATTTGTTTTTTCTTCATTTTTTTATTATTTGGTTTTACTTCTTTGATTTGGTCATCAGTGGAAAGTTATCTACCAAAAAGTTTTATATCTAGATTAAGACCAATAGTTATTATAACTTATATGGTATTTTACTTAAACTCTTTGTTTTTTGTAATGTTCTTGTTGATTTGATAAGTATTGACTAGGTCAAAGTGTAAACTGAGCTCCCACTCCTTTCGATTTGAAAGTTAGGGCTTCATCGATTTCAATCTGAGCTCACACCCTTTGCTGAAAACTATGTTGTTCTTATTTTATTTTATTTTAATTTTGGGCTAATTTCACTTTTATCCACCAAACTATCACTATTTTGTTTATTTTATCCTTAAAACTATCAATTTCATCTATTTACCTTCTAAATTTTCTTGTTTTTGCTCATGTGGTTCAATTGGAGACGATCGTACAAATCAATAACCGTTGAAACTTGATTTGATGGGTAAAATGGTAATTTTGTGCAAATTAGTAACTATTGAAGCTTGATTTGATCAGTAAAAGTGTCATTTCAAAATTTTAACAAGTTAAATCATACAACCAAACATTCATTTTTTTTTGCTGTTTTGAACAAACTACACCTCAACCAATTTGATGAGTATTTGGTTGTATGGTTAATTTGTTCAAATTAGGCTTCAACAATTACTAATTTGTACAATCGTCTCTAATTGGACTACATGAACTAAAATTAGAAACTTTAGGAACTAAATAGATAAAAAATTGATAGTTTAGGGATGAAATAGACAAAATGGTGATGGTTAAGGGTTAAAAGTGGAATTAACCCTTTAGGTTTATAGATCATCGTATATAGCTTCCAGATTAAGAATCTCAGGATGAAATTCTTATAATGGTCTTGTCGTGTTGATTTCCTAGGCCTGTCTGTATACTTGGAATCCGGATGTGGGGATAAGCTTTCCTCTCCTGTAAAGCAGTACATTCAGAACCTCCTTAAGGTAGCAGTAGTTGACATTTCATTTATTCATTCTTTTTTATGTCGGTAAATAAGTGATATATATTTTTATTCTTACAGGCCAATATGGAGGGGCCATATGGATCTGAGTGGCCTATAGCAGAGAAAGTGAAGCGCAGGGAAATGGTTGCTCCAGGAGCACGTTATATATTTGTCCTTGAGGATCCAAATGCAAATCAGGCAACCACAAGTGTAGAAACACAAAGGGCCTCTACTTATTGCATCAATGGTAGGGCCCCCATTGTTGGATTTGTACAATACCGATTTACTGTAGAGGAAGAGATACCTGTTCTTTATGTGTATGAATTACAGCTTGGGCCTCACGTTCAGAGGAAGGGACTCGGAAAATTCTTAATGCAACTAATTGAGCTTATTGCTCACAAGGTACTGAATTCATTTTTCTGTTATCGCTTATTATAATAACGACTAGAAATATACTGAATAAAGAAGGTTTTACCTTAGGGGTCCTTGACAGGATGAGTTTCTCAAAGCATATTAATATTTTTCTTGATAGACTTATGTTGTTTTTGTAAGAGCCTTTGTACACTAACTAATTTGGTTTTCTTAAAAAATTTCTTTACCGCCAATGTAACAGTTGTATTTATAAATTGTGCATTAGTTTAGTGTGCTTAACTTTGTAACTTCAAATAAACTACTCAATGTATTTTGTTTTTGACATAATTTATTACTTTCCATCTTTTGTAGAACCAAATGGGTGCTGTGGTGCTAACTGTTCAAAAAGAAAACTTGTTAGCAATGAATTTTTATATGAGTAAGCTCAGGTAAATCCTCGAATTGATTATAGCAGTACATCTTATGCCTATTATTTAGTAAGATACAGTTCATATATGCATGATATTAATTCAAAACAAGGATTTGCCATTCCCTTTATGTAATGCTAATAATATGCAGCCAAGTTGGCTTTTTTAGCATTAGTATTTATGGGTTTTCTGGGTTATTTTTCAAATAGCTGGATTTGGACTGTAGGGTTCTCCCATAGGTCGTCTTATGGTTGAAATTATGTTATCGGGTCATTGTATCTGTTTTTATTTTGGTCTAGAATCTTTTAAGTCATAATCTCAGAATTGGGAGAGTCAACATCCTGTAAATACTTGTGTAATTGTGCTATTCATAAGAGAGTTGAAAGTTTTGAGGATTTGTTTGAAGCTTTTGTGATTTTGTATGTTGTTTTTATAAGATTCCTGAAAGCTTTTCTGTATATTCAATTGTGTGTTAATACAAAGATTACAACCAATATATATGCAATCCTAACCCTAATCTGAAATAGGAAATAATACAATCAATCTAAAATACACAATTCCATAATTAACATAATATTCTCACAATCGCACCTAGGCATCGATGCGGCGCCCCTTGCTCACTTTTCGAAACACCCGAAGGTAGGCGCAACACATCACTTAAGGGGAGCGACCTAACATTTATTTGTTTCAATGTAAGATTCATTTTCATAAGGGATCTGAACGGCTTTTTACGTGTTGGCTGTCAACTTTTTCATCTTTATTATGCTTTTTAGTTCTGAGTCAATTTTTTTTTACTTTTTATGTCCGTCTAGACTAGATGATTCTAAAAATAAAAAAAGTCCACAAAACACAAAAGGTCAATTTTGTTGATAAAGCCTATAATGGACTTTCTCAACCCAAAAAAAAATTCCATTTTTAAAAATTGTTAGGGTCATCTAGTCTAGATGGCCTAGAAAGTAAAACAATTTGACTCAATTGAAAAAGGTTCACTAAAGACCACCCCCTTCCCCAAAAAAAAAAAAAATTAAATAAGGCAGCTTAAAAAGTTTTATGGATCCCTTTGCACTTCATGAGCTCTTGCCAACCTCTTTCAGACACGTCTTCAGCAAATTTCATGGCATTTCTAAAAAGTAAAAAGTTCACAATATATTTTGGTGATGAATAATTTACCTGCAGTAACAAGTTGATTGGAGCGAGCTTTGAAATGAAGGAACTGCATGACTTGAATATTCAATGCAAAAGGTAGGTATTTAGGGAGAGTAGAGGACCCCACCACCGCAAAATTGGCACCATTTGTGAACGTGGTTCCCAGCGAGTCTAGGTATGGCCTCAAAAAGCTCGTGTTCACGCTTTGGCCTGCACAATTAAATATTATTTATCTATAACAAAACACAATAACAGTACGACTTATAATACAACTTAAATATATATATTTAAACCTCAGGTGATATCTCTTTAGACAAGAGAGAACACCAAATGTCATGGCCCAACACTTCAGATTCCTCCTCTTTAATTCCCTACTCTTTAATTTTCTAGGGAAAAAATCGGGTAATCGACACATAAGAGTCAAAGCAGACCCAACACAACAGAGCCATGGCAACTCTGGAAGAGAAGCAAACAACGATATTGATGATCACAAGTTGTTTCTTTTCACTGAAAAATAGTAAGGTCTAATTTCTTTTCACCGCGCATTTGTATCTCTGCATTTTTTGCTAAATTTGTAATATTTAATAAATCAAAAACAACTACCAACTTACAACAAATAAAACTATAATTGCAATCTATATATTATATAAGGAAAAGGAGTTTTAGTGAGAAGTCTTGTGAGACTTTCAATATCTCATATTAATTTTCTTAATTTTAAATAATTAAGAAAATCTACATTAGCTAACTTTTATTTGATAATCTCACATTGGAAAAAGATGGAAAAAAATGAGTTATTTTACTCATATAAAGAAAATCTTATACTTCCATCCCATTTAGTGAAGAGCCTTGAGTTTCAATATCTCATACTAATTTTCTTGATTTTGAACAATTAAGAAAATCTACGTTAGCTAGCTTTTATTTGATAATCTCACATCGGAAAAATAAGAAAAAAAAATGAGTTGTTTTACTCATATAAAGTGAATATTATACTCTCATCACATTTAATATTGTAATGTTGTTTATATTTCAATTCAATATAATTTAAATTTTAAAAGTTTTAATTAATTAATTATGACGTAGCCGATTAGGCTAAATCATTTTTTATTTGATTGATTCGTTGATTTAATTGCGATTTTAGCGATTTTGTCAAAATATATTGATTAAATTCAAAATAAACAAATTTATATAAGCAAAAGGAAATTTTTAGTGAGAAACCCTATGATCAATATCTCAAACTCATTTTTTAATTTTTTTAATTTTAAACAATAAAGAAAATTTCCATTGGCTAGCTTTCATTTAACTTTTATTTTATAATCTCACATAGACGTTTTGATTTTAAAAATAATTTTGTATGAGACTTTGAAACTCTCATAATGTTTAACTTAAAAATAATTACAATCCCACATCGAGAAAAGAAAGAAAAAGTGAGTTGTTTCACTTATATAAAGTGAATCTTATAAAGGGGTTTTGAGGGAGAAACTTTCTAGAAGCTCCAAACCCTCATTCTAAAATTATTAAATTTTCTTAATTTTAAACAATTAAGAAAATTTTCATTAGCTAACTTCCATTTGCCTTTTATTTTACAATCCCACATCAGAAAAAAAAAAAGGAAGCAATGAATCGTTTCATTTACATAAAGTGAATCTTATGATCCAATTTATATAAATTATTGAATTTTCTTAATTTTAAACAATTAAGAAAATCCTCATTAGCTAGCTTTCATTTAAATTTTATTTTATAATCCCACATCAGGAAAAGAAAGAAAAAATGAATTGTTTCACTTATATAAAGTGAATCTTATACTCTCATTTATATAAGCAAAATGAGATTTTTAGTGAGAAACCCTACAATCAATACCAATTTTTTTTTTTGATTTTCTTAATTTTAAATAATTAAGAAAATTTACATTACTTAGCTTCTAATTAACTTTTATTTTACAATCCGACATAGAGGTTTTGATTTTAAAAATAATTTTGTATGAGATTTTGAAACTCTCATAATATTTAACTTAAAAATAATTACAATCTCACATCGAGGGAGGGAAAAAAGCGAGTTGTTTCACTTATATAAAGTGAATCTTATACTGTCATTTAATATTATAATATGATGCACGTTTCAGTTCAAGATGGTTCAAATTTTAAAATAAAATTTAAAAGTTCTAATTAATTAATTTTGTTATGAATTGGTAAACTAAAATTGACCATATTAAAAATTGAACGACTAAGATTATTTAATTCGAAATGAACTTCCCGTCTAAACAACTGTTAACTTTTATTTTACAATCTTACAAACCTCATGCTCCCATTTAATATTGTACTGTTATGTATGTTTTAGTTCAAGATAGTTTAAATTTTAAAATTAAAATAAAATTTATAAGTTTTAATGAATAATTTTTGTATAAATTGGTTGGTCCTTTGACCTAATTGATAGGGTGAATCATTTTTGGTTTGACTATAATTGCAATTTTAGCGATTTTATCAAAATATATTGGTTAAATTGTTGATTCGAAATAAATTAAAGATTTACCTAATTAAAGATAAAACGGCTAAGATTGCTTGATTCGAAATAAACTTCTCGCCCAAACAATTGTTAACTTTTAAACAATTAAGAAAATCTTATTAGCTAGCTTTCATTTAACTTTTATTTTATAATCCCACATCGAAAAAAGAAGGAAAAAAATGAATTGTTTTATTTACATAAAGTCAATCATATTCTCTCATTTATCTAAGCAAAAGGAGATCTTTAGTGAGAAGCTTTATGATCAAATATCTCATACTATTTTTTTTTTTATTTTCTTAATTTTAAACAATTAAGAAAATCTCCATTGACTAACTTCCATTTAACTTTTATTTTACAATTCCACATAGAGGTTTTGATTTTAAAAATTATTTTGTGTGGGATTTTGAAACTCCCATTAGATCTCTCCCTAAAAGTATTCTTTTATAAAATATATAGATATATCAATAATCTCAATGTCACTCTTACTGTTCCTTAATACAAAAATTATGAGATAATTATGATAATTTTAAATATGTATTTAAAATTTATAAATTATGAGATGGCTTATTATAATTTTAAATTCATATAGTGTTGATTTTAAATTTAAATTAATAGATTGTTTTCCATATTTAGTGACAGTTTAAATTTTATTAAAATAAATTTTAAAAATTTTAATTAATTAATTTTTGTGCAAGCTGGTTGATCTTTTGACCTAACTGATTAAGCTAAACCGTTTTTTGTTTGAATAATTTGCTGGTTTAACCGTGATTTTAATGGTTTTACATGTTATGATATTTCTTTCTTGCTCGTTAAGTTTTTAAAATTTATTTAATTATTTTCCTTTCAAAAACCAATATGATAATTTTTTAAAATTTATATATTTTTATTCTAAAATAGTGAAATATTAGAACTATGTCATTTTTTATAACAAAGCATAATTTTAATTATTAATTGTCAATACAACAATTGTAATCTATCTATACTATATATTATAGTAAATGAACATTTGAACCAAAACCCTTAAATTTATATATAAAATTTTATTTAAGAGAGGCAAAATATAAAAAAATTAAATATAATTATCGTATTTTTAATAAATAATATATTATTTTATCTCATGCATAGAACGGGTGATATGCTAGTATTTACTAAATCAAAAACATCAAACAACAATTAAAACATATAAATCAAGCACCAACAACAAATAACATGAAAATTGCGTAACTTTGTTGCAAAAACTAGTGATCGTTTTATCATTTTTTTCGAACATGGGAGGCTGTAGCTTAGGAGAGGAGTCGAACATTTGAGCTCTTAGTGAGGTGCAAAAATCCCAACCAACTGAATTAGTTCTTGTTAGTCTTTCTTTTTCTTTTTTCTTTTTAAATCTTATTTTTACATCGAGAAGTTCATAGACTTGAAAGATTTTTGCATTCAAAAGTCCGAAGCTTTGTAAACCAGCAACTCCAGTTCATGCCCTGCTATCATTGAATTCCATGTAATTACATCTTAAACTCTGTTTGATCAAACAAATGATGGTGCTGCTGAATAAAAATCCCTGATTTCATATAGCCATTAATCATGACATTTCAAGGTACTAAATTCCTATCAAATACCTTTCTTGCTTCACAACCTCATTACTTTTCAAGAACCCATCAATCAACAGAGTCCATGAAAAATGTCCCTTTCAAGCATTTTCAATGCAAGTTCAATTTCCCCACATCTTGCATGTCCATCCATCAAAGATTTTCAAGAAACTAAATTTCTCTCCTCCATTCCATCAAACACCTTCTGAGTCAAATTAATTTCTTCACATTTACATTACATGCTAACCAAACTACTCTGCAAGTATAAGTCCAATACAAACATAATTTTCAACACCAATCCAACCCATACCATGTGGGGCACAGTTAACACCCCTAGTCAGTAGTTAAGTCATAATTAACAAGAAGTCTACATTACTAAGGGATAAAATTTTATCCTCTTACCATATAAGCGTATGATATTCTAGGCCAATCTAGACACGAAACAGAGATCTAGGCGATTGAAGGCACTAATACTATAAATATACATCAACCTAGGAGACTTAGGTATACAATGATATGATACGCAATTCAATACTCGCAAAGAGTTACATTATTTCTTTCAATGATTATGCTGACTTAAGCATTGGCGCATTTTCCTCCTGACAACCGAGTGACACTCATGGTGTATTATTTTATAAGGACACAAGGATGTGCATTGTGCTTTGGTCATCTCTTTATTGTGATTTCTTCATCTTTTAAGTAAGAAGCAATTTTTTCCTCCTCCATTGAGGTTATTGATTTTGTGATTTTGGGGTAAGAGTTGAGAAGAAATGAAAGGGTGATGGAAGGTGTTGGTTACCTCCTGTAGGGTGGAGAGTTTTTTTTTTTTAACAAGGTGTGGTCCAAGGCATTGTTGTCAAATTGCAAATTTATATGGCTGTCAAACAATGCTAGTACGATATCAACGATCACAAGTTGTTTCCCTCCAGTTTTATGGTTTCCTCACTATGGCCCTTAAAGGTGTGGGTTTTTTTCTTCTTTTTTTTTTTGGTGCACTTTGACCGTTTAAGTAGCTTTTTCTTTTTTTTTTTGTGCTTGAAAGTATTTTTCTCTACTTTTGGCCCCTAACATTTGTTATTTTAATCAACTATCAAAACAATTTTTGTCCAATTTTGGATTTTAAAAAAAGCCACATTGGTGGCATTTTTTGTCCAATGTGGCGTAAAAATACATTACATCAAAATTTTATGACCCAAAATTCAAAATTTTAGGTGTAGTGTTACAGTGGTATAGGAGTTTGGGTGTTTCTGAAGGTAGTCATAGTGGAGTGGGACAGTGAAGGGAGGGGAGCAAAGGGGGACGATGGAGGTGGAGGGAGGTGGTAGAGGTTGGAAACAGTGAAAGGGTAGACGAAGTGGGATGAATTTGAAGAAAAGAGAGATTGAAGGTTGGAATTTGGGTTTAGATTTTGAATTTTTATTTTTAGATTTTGGGTTTTGAAGTTTGAGTTTTTGATTTTGAGTAATAAAATTAGACGGAAGTAGTTTTGGAAGTAAATTGAAAAAATTACAAACATTAGGCGGTCAAAGAGAAAAAAAAATACTTTGAAAAAATTGTGAAACTTTAAAGGTGTGTAATTCACCCATTTTATGTCATATGATTGTCAATGTGACATTTTTATTTAAAATTGGATGAAAGTCGATATTGAGAGTAAATTTAAAAAATAAATAAATAATAAAAAAAAAACTTTAAAAAGCTAAAGTGAAAAAAATTATAAAATTTAAAAGGAGAAACCTCTAATTTACCCTAAGATAGTGTTTGGTTCACTAGAATGAAATGGAATGGAATGATTATTCCTTCAAAATGTTTATTCTCATGTTTGGTTAAACAAAAAAAAAAATAATGAAAAATGCATTACAAATGAAATCATCTTTCACCATTTTATAAGAATGGTCATTGCATAAGACCTAAGCAATCACCATTTCATACTATTTCATCTTATTCTAATCAACCAAACAAAATAGGGTAAATTACACTTTGCCCATTTTATGTTTGACTACTTTCTCACTTTGGCCTTTCAAATTGTTTTTCTTTTTACTTTGGCCTTTCATGTTTCAAGTTTTTTCCACTTTACTCCTAAAGCTAATTTCTGTTAAATTATACAAAAAATGACACATTAACAGTTACGTGGCATAAAAATATTTTACGTATTATATATGACTCACACCTCTAATATAAACTTAAACTCTAATATAATAATATATTTTTTATGTTATGTGACAGTTATTATGGTATTTTTTGTCTAATTTTAAACCGAAGTTAACTTTAAAGGTAAAGTGGAAAAAACTTGAAATATGAAGCACAAAGTAGGAAAAAAACAAACTTAGAAAGTCAAAGTGAAAAAGTGGCCAAACATAAAAATGGCCAAATGTAATTTATCCAATAAAATATTAACAAGAAAGTTAGATTCCTTTTATGTTTGGGACCCAGTAGAGATGATCATGTGGTCTCTAAAGAAGTTATTTGGTGGTCCTGAGAATAGCCACGTGATGTCTAGATGTAATGTAATTGGTGGAGGAGATAAGCCGAATGCTATCTCTACTAAATTTTGGCTCACCCAAATTGTCCGAATTTGAGCATGTTATGCCAAGTCATCCAAGAGGATGCTAGTGATTCGAGCACATGCCGGTTGATACATCGGATAACAAAGGTGACAATCGCGGTTGACAAGGGTGACAACCGTGATTGACAAGAGCATATGCCGGTTGATACATCGGATAACAAAGGTGACAATCGCGGTTGACAAGGGTGACAACCGTGATTGACAAGAGTTGCGCCGGTCGTCCGACCATGTCATTCGAGAGGAGTCAGGCTATCTCTATTTCGGTGGATCAAGCATTTTTCTAATGAAAAAAGAACCGGACATAGTAATTGGTGAAAGACATTATTAGAACATCTCTAATGTTGATCAAATTTTTCATCAAATTTAAGTAAAAGTTTGATGAAAAGTTTGATTTGATATGATGCACTCCAACGTTAAATTCAAAATTTTTATCAAATGCCTTGTTGTCCTAGTGAATGTCTAGACATGGGAAAAAATTGGGTTCAAGTAAAGAAAGTATGGTTATCTGAGAGGATGTCCGGCCCAACGGTCACCTATAAATTTGATGAACGATAAACGCTCCTTTCATTTGATGAAATATTTGGTTCTCTTTGATCACAAGAACTGACTTTTCTTCTATTTTTTTATCAAATTTAAATTTAATTAAACATATGAGATAACATTGTAAGGGTAATTATTCAATAATCTCGGAGTATAGACACGTGCTATTCCATAACATTATGATTGGCAGAAAGGATGGACAGGTGGGGTATTGTGTTTCGTGATTGAAAAATATGAGAAGACATATTAAATAATAATTGATTCAGTAGTACAGAAACGTAATGCTCCAGAAACATTGAATAATTTCTTTAACATTGGAGACGGTCTAGGTGACGTCTGGATCACCAAATAATTTTTGCCATACCTAACCAAATAATGATATGTGTCAGAATAATTACTCGTGACCAGGTCGGCCTCTCTACCGTACACATGGAAACAATCGTACGACGTGGAATAGATATAACCAAAAGGCCACCGACGTCCTTTCGACAATACCGGGCCCACCCCCGTGCCAATTCTAATCCAGATTTCAGAAAACGACGTCGGTCAGTTCTTTTTCATGACTGAACTGGCCAAACCTTCACTACGACGTCGTTTTCAATGTTTTTCGATGAAAGAGCATTTCAAAGGTAAAAATGGAGTGATGCGAATGAACAAGTGAACTACTAACATATATGCATCATCATCACCATCAACATTGTAGTTTTTCAGGCGCTATGTTTGGTTCATATACTTAAAAAAAATTTTGAAAAGACTAAGAAAAGAAAGGTGGATCAAATATGAATTTAATATAGATTAATGAACAGGACTCTGACTGATAAAAGTTTCTAATCAGAGTCTCATTCGGACGAATTGAAGCTAAACAAATTTGATCGAGTTAGCGGTACTATTTAATACAACAATGCTACGTATCATTAAAATGGTGTTCTAAAATATCACTAACTAATGAGTTGACACAAACTAAAAAAAAATAAAATAAATAATAATAATAATAACACAATGGGTGAGACTCACGACCGCATTATTAATGTGAGCCATTTTTGTTAATATAACTACATATTTCACGCACTTTATCCACTTTTCATTCTAAATCATTTCTCAAATTCATGAACCAACTATAATCTGAATGATTATATAAGTTTGTACAGCATTTTGAATATAGTAGTACTACTATCATTGTTGTTTGGTAAATCAATGAAATGAGGTTGATGAATAGTAGTAGTTGTAAATTAAAGAAGTGGAACTTACAGAGGAGATCGAGGACAAGGCGTCCATCGGAGAGGCGACCGGTCGATGTGCCGAAGAAAGTGCGGCCGTTGGGCGGATTGACTGGGAATCCGAGTCCAGCGACGAGGCCCCCGGTGTCGGAGTTGGAATCCCCGAAGTTGAAGATGACTGGGGGGTTCTTGCATTGAGAAAGAACTGGTTGCGATTGTAGAGAGAGAGAGATTATGCATATCAAAACATAATGGGTAGTAGAGAAGCCAAGAGAAGGAGAGAGTGAGAGTTGGGAGGAGGAGCCCATTGTTTGCTTTGCTTTGCTCTGTTTTTTTTTTTTTTTTTTGGGGTTTTTTTGCTTCGGCTTTTGCATTTTGCTTTTGTACCATTTGTGTCGGACTCTTTGTGGCTGTCATGCACTAGGTAGGGTCCATTCATCAACCTCATCAGAAAAAATTCATTATTTGGATCCTAAATACAAAAGATTATCTTCGTTTTAAAACTTTTACATTTGATTAGTTCATTAAGGTCATGTTTGTTTAGGTAGACATAAGATTGAGATTGGACTAATAGTCTAATAAAATTGTTAATTCAATATTTAGTTAAATAATTGATGTACGGATTAATTATTTTAAACTTGACTATTAGTTAAGATAGGATACATAATCCAACAAATTCGTAGTCCTAAGACTATTAATCATATAAATATTAATCCAGTCCACCCAAACAAACATGACCTAATATTACAAAATAGAAAGTTCTAGTATACACAGTATTAGTCAGTATTAGTTATAATTCAAAAAATATTAAATTATATTATTTTTTATTAATTATAAACTATATATGATATACACATTTTGAGGAGTGTCTATTATAATATTTTCTTATAAAATTTTAATTTTTTTATTTAACTTGATAAATTTATATACATATATATATTATAAAATTACATAAAAAATTTAATTTATAAATTTTCAATTTTAAGTTTTAATAACACACCACTTCACTTATTTATAATTTATTTTTGTGAGGAGATGGTTTCTCTCCAATTTACTGTGGATTGGAGTATATTGTTAAATCTGTAAGGTTTATCACGGATTCCGTTTCGATAATTCAAATTATTCAATGTGTATAGCTCGTCGAATATTTTATGTCTACAAAAAATTACGTTAATCAAATATCGGTGACTCCTTAATTAGAACACATTTTTGTTAATAATTTATTTTGAAAATTATATTTACCTTTTACAAAAATGTGTTCCAATCAAAGGAATATTGATATTTGATTAACGTAATTTTTGCAAGCATAAAGTACTCAACAAGTTTACACATTGAACGGTTCGAATTATCAAAACGAAACTTGTGGTGAACCTCACGAGTCCAACAGCTCGCTCTATACTACTATTAGGGGTGAGCATGGTCCGGATTGGACCGGATTGGGGTAAAACCAAGACCAATCCGTTATTTACGGTTTCTGAAAAATTGGAACCAATCCAATCCATTTAAATCATGGAACCAATCCGAACCAATCCATTTAAATACGGATTGGATCGGTTTAGGATCACGGATCACGTAATTAAATAACAAATATATATATATATATATATATAACACTTTAATTTCATAAAAATATAAACATAGCGCTATATCAGTTCCATAATAGCAACATGTTTTTCTATAATAGTGACATACTGTTATTGAATTTAAACAACCATAAGAAAATACAAACAAAAGTAATAAAATAAGATATTATACGGTTTTAGGTTTGAGTTTAGATTTTATATAGAATAAGAGAAAATACTATGGGGAGGATGTATAATAAAAATATAGACTATTTGTATACGGTCCGGATCGGTTCCAATCCGGAACCGTGGGGTTCAATCCGGAACCAATCCGTGAACTACGGATTTTTAATTCTTCAATCCGGAACCGAACCGCGGATTCAAAAAACCAATCCAAACCTATCGGATTGGACTGGACTGGATCGGATTACGGATTTCACGGATTCCTTGCTCAGCCCTAACTACTATATAAACTAGAGAGAAGCCTCCCTTTTACAATAAGGCCAAGTTTGGCAACTTTAAAAAAAGTTAAAAATTTAAAAAGTCACTATCCTATTTAGGTCACATCATCTTATTTAAGTTACATTATTTCTCTACCACATCACTTCAAACCCAACCCATATTTTATAAAAAGTCAAAAAATATACTTATTTAGAACATTCCAAACAACTCCTAAGCTTCACAATGAATCAATATAAATTTTTGGATGAGTAATCGGTTCAATTTTTGGACAAGTTATTAGCAATATATGAAATCCAATAAAAAAGAGAGGGAAGAAACGCAATTAGTGCAATGCTTGGGACTATGAAGGATATTTATGGGTATTTGAGATGATTTAAATAAATATATTTTTTAAATTTTTTATAAAAAATATATATATAAATTGAGTTTAAAGTGAAATGATAAAAAATAATGTGAATCAAATAAAATTATTATGATCGAAATAAAATAATATGCCAAACACTCCTAACTAAAGTCGCCAATCTGTATCCGACATCTTTCGAAATTCAAATCTTGAACAAACGAAATATTTTGCTAGAAAATGAAGTGTTCGGTAAAAAAAAGGAAGAAGAAAAAAAAAAACTCTAAACTCAAATAATATTTGGTAATTATTTTATTTTCAGTTTTTTAGTTTATATTTTCAAAAAATTTAAAAAGCTATCCTAAAAATTTGTTTGATAATTTTTTTTAGTTTATAAATTGTTGTCTTAATTTATAAATTTGATGAAAAATGAGTTTACGTTGGTTTTAAACAGAAATTTAAAATTTTGACTAACAATTTTTTTTTTTTCAAATAATTTTTTTAATTATTTTTTTTCAACTATTTGTTTTCAAATATTTTTTTTCAATTACTTTTTTCTCAATTAATTTGTTTTTCAATTAATTTTTTTAATTAATTTTTTTTCAATTACAATGTGTATGATCCCATTGTCATAAATATAAAAAATAAATATAAATATTTTAGGCCTAAATAAACATATTTTTTAATTTATGTTTTTAAAAAATTTTAAATATTTTGTTCAAACTAAACACGTTTATAATTTATGTTTTTCTAAAAATAAACAAAAATTAGTTTGTAAATTTTTTACAAACATAAATAAAAAACGTAAATGTTATCAAACGCTACCTAAATGCCTGTTGGAATTTTTTAATGGTCCAACAAACAAGTTCTGTCAAAATTTCAAGAATTAAAATAAACTCGAATCAATTTTAATTGAAAAAATAAAGGAAAAATTCATATAAATTGATATTCCAATTGGGTTGATTTTTGGTGTTGCCCCTCCCTTGGCCTTTGGCCTTTGGCCTTTGGAAGCCTAGTAAAATTTAAGTTTAGGATTGGTTTGGGAAGTGGATTCGCTTTTTAATTTTTAGGTTTTTTTTAGCTATTTCAGTTTGGATTAAAAAGCTTAGTTTGTGAAGGATTTTTTGACTTTTTGGCTTTTTTAACTTTTTTGTGAGAGAAGAGTGTAATGATTATGTGTTGAATGTGATGTTTTGTTTTTTGTGGCTAAAATAACTTATTTTGTCTTTTGTGGCTAAAATAGTCAAAAAAGCCCCTAACCCAACTTGCCAAACGGAGTCTAATAAAGTGGGTCGGCTTTTTGAATTTTTGATTATTTTAGTTTTGCGTTAAAAAATCTTGTTTGAAAAGAATTTTTTTAATTTTTAAAATTTTTATGAGAGAAAGAATATAATGATTATGGGTTGAATGTGATATTTTGTCTTATTTGGATAAAAAACTTATTTTGTCTTTTTAGGACTAAAATAGTCTCAAACCCAACCCAATTTTTCTTCACAAAGGAAGCCTAGATTGGGTTCGTTTGAGAAGTGAGTTGGCTTTTTAGCTTTTTGACTTTTTAACTTTTTGACTATTTTGTTTGGGATGATCTTAATAAGTGTACTTTTTGACTTTTTAGGAAAAAAACGTAAAATATGGGTTGAGTTTAAAGTGATGTGGTAGAGAGATGATGTGATTTAAATGAGATGATGTGACTTAAATAAGATAATGACTTTTTGACTTTTTTGTATTATGCGAAACTAGGTCTGGGGCTAAAAAGTCTCGTTTCGTTTAGGAATGACTTTTTGGCTTTTTTAACTTTTTATAAGAGAAAGAAGTAATGATTATGGATTGGATATGATGTTTTGTCTTATTAAATTAAAAACTTATTTTATCTTAGGGCAAATTACACTAATAGTCCCTATAGTTTAAGACTCGTATCACTTTGGTCCATAACTTTTCAACTGTAATACATTTGACCATGAATTTTGAATATTGTTCCAAATAAAGACAATTGAAGATATCATTGTTTAATTCCAAGGTAAAATCGTCAATTTAATAAAATATAAATTAAATTGACAAAAATAAATGTCAAAAAATATTTTTAATTTTTTAAAATTTTATTTTTATCTACCAATGATAAAATTATGTAAAATTGATAAAAAAATTAATAAAAATTACATGATTAATTTCTAAAAATTAATTTTACATGATCATTATCCAAACACATAATAAAAATTAATTTGGTAAAATAAATAAATAAATGTCTAAAAGATTTATCAATTTTACATTATTTTATTTTTAGGAGGTAGAAATAATTTTTAAAAATTCAAAAATATTTGTTTGACATTTATTTTTGTCAAATTAATTTATATTTTGTCAAATTGATGATTTTAACCTTAAAAAATCTAATAATATTTTCAATTATTCTTATTCGGAACAAAATTTAAAATTCAAGATCAAATGTGTCACAATTAAAAAGTCAAAAATCAAAATGATACAAGTCTCAAATTATAGGGACTATTAATGTAATTCACCATTTATCTTATTATGATTAAAATAATCCCAAACTTAACCCAATCCTTCCTCCCAAACAAAGCCATTGTTGGTTTGTAAGGAACTATATTGGCAATTTGAATGCAACGGTCCAATGACAAATTTTGATTTGCTGTCAGGATTATAACAATGTTGATTAGTAGGAAATAATACTTATTGATTCTTTTTGTAATTTTTGTTGAGTGATGCCACTTAAAGATAGTATTACCATCACACTGGGTATATTTGATTGGGTAGATTAGAGTATGGGATTGAAATTATTAATCTGCGGGTTCAATTATCCTTTGTTTGTTTTACCATTTTGGTTTAAGATTATTAATCCAACAAATTTGTAGGATTATTAGTAATGGGGTAGGGATGAGATTATTAATCCAATGAATATTAATCCAATTGGATTGTGAATACCACACTAATTTAATAAGATTATTAATACTTCATTATTAATTTTGTAAATCAAACATGACCTAAATATATTTTTTATTGACGGGATTAAATGTTTAAGACGGATTAGAAAAATGACTTTTTGGGAACTTGGCAAGAAGCTGCGTTTTGCAGCCAAAAACGCAGCCTCAGTTGAGCAAAAAACGCAGTCAAAAAGCTGGTTGGGGTATTTGGGAGGTTTGCAAAACGCCAAGGGTGGAATTACATGACTATCCTCCTTGTTCCAACAAGGAGCTAAGTGAGCCAAAAAGGGTTAAATAGTAAATTTTCTAAGCCTCTGTTTGGCAAGTGAGGTTGGAGGCTTTTTTGGCTATTTTAGCCACAAAAAACAAAATAGGCTATTTTAGCCATAACAAACAAAACATCACATCCAACCCATAATCATTACATTTTTCTCTCACAAAAAAACTCAAAAAAGCCAAAAAGCCAAAAAGTCCTTCCCAAACCAAGCTTTTAAGCCCAGGCTAAAATAGCCAAAAAAGCTAAAAAGCCAAAAAGTCAACCCACTTCCCAAACCAAGCCTAAGTTGGGTGGAGTATTTTAGTCATTTTATTATGATGTGACATCATAAATTAATATTAACTCAAAAAGTAAAAAAGTAGTTTTTTGTTGACTTCTTAAATCACTTTTTATAAAAGCCAAAAAACTTGGTAAAAAATTAAAAGTCAACTTTTTACTAACTTTTCAAAACACCATAAAATATATATGAGAGGCATTTGTTTATGATTATAGTGGTGTTAATTTTAACTCATTATGATTATTATTTTAATTATAACAAAAAAAGTTTTTAATTATACCTTATCACAAATGTTCCAATTTGTGTATGATACCTACCCCAACACATGTATTTTTTTGAGAACATAAGAAACATTTATATTAATAAACAATAACATACATAAACAAGATTCCAAAAGGCCATTCTAACTAAAAAACAAAACGAAAAAAATAAATAAACAATAAAAAATAAATTTGTCAAAAAATCAGTTACCAAGATCTGCATCAAATTAAGTAAAATCTGCTTGAAAGTCCGCCATCCTCGTTGACGTCGTCTCCGTCGCTATTACCCAACTGCACTACTACCTCCACCAGACTTTGAACACTGTCAGAAGTTAGAGTTGAGAAGGAAATACATCCACAATAATATAAGAGAAGACTTGAGAGAGAAGGAAACTATTGTGGGTATCAAACCTCTAAAAATGTATGTTGAAATTGGAGGAGAAAACTTTCGAAACGCCTATTTTAGATATAAAAAGTTTAGATCTATACTCTATAAGTATAGATCCATTCTTGTGTTTGCTTGGACGGACTGGATAAGGGAGGATTGTAATCTATCAGACTATTAGTTCTGTGATACATTGTCCCCAAACTATTTTGTTGGACTGGATTTGTATCCTATGTTTGTTTAGTCATGGAATTAGATGTCTAAATTGGACTATTTTTAGTTATCCAATATTTGTTTGGGATATTATGGAGAAGGATAAATGCTCAAATGACTATTTTATCATTTTCAATTTGTTACTAGTAATAACAATATTAAACATAGCTTTAATATTTTAATTATTTTTAGCTAGATTAAATAAAAATTTATTTTATTTTATTTTTTGCACGATTAAATAAATTTATTTTTTAAAAATTAAATAAATTAAATATCAATAAAAATATATGTTATTTTTTTGATTAAAATTTTCAATAAATTTATTTTAAATGATAATAATAATTAAATAATGAGATAAAATAAAACATCTATTAAAATTTAAATAATAAAATTAAATAAAATTAAAATAAAATATCTACAAAAAATTATTTTAAAAAATTAAATAAATAAAACAAAAATAAAAATTAAATAAAATTATTTTATTTTTAAATTGAAACATTTAAATTTTATTGAATTTTACTAAATATAACACATAATTAAATACCATAGGGAAAAAATGTAATTTTAGTAGCTAATCCCATGGGATGAGTTATCCCATAGTTTCTATTCCACCCGTCCATGGGATAGTATAGTCCGACAAATATGGGACTAATAGTCCGGGGGATTATTAGTTCGAACCAAAAAATTCATACCAAACAACGGACTATTAGTCCATTTGAACTAATAGTCCAATCCCATAGTGTTATCCTTCAAAACAAACATGCTCAGAAAGTGTAGAGGGAGTCACCAAAATATAAGAATGACGTCAAAAATTGCCTAGAGAGACACTCTCTCATATTTTAACACGTGTACGTATAGTGGCATGACGTATAAAATGATATGCTTTTCATATATATCTATTCTATCTGTCTTCTATACTCTTATAAAGTGAACACCTCTTATGGTGTCCTGAAACTTTGTTTCTTATGTTATCACGTGTGCACTTTTTTTATTTAAAATTAAAAAAAAAATAGATAAATGAGTGAAAGGAGATTTAAACCTTAGACGTATATCAAATGAATAACACTCTTACCACTTGACTAGCACACAATATATAATAACTTTTTTATTTTATTTTTATTTATTTGAATAGCACACGTATCACGTGTGCCAACCGCTAGTATATATATAAAAGTAAATTACACTTACATCACTCGTGGGTTGACCCAAAAAAAAAAGAAGTTAGTCCCATATTTTTTTTATATAATTATAGTGATATTCTTTAAGATTTTAATTTATATAATATTTAAATTATTTTTTATCAGTAATTCGTTAGTTGTATAAAAAAATAATAATGTTATCATCTTTTTCTTACATAAATACATATATATTTATCTTTATTTATTTCAATATTTACACACCATTGAAAGTAATTTCAATCTCTTTAACTATACTAAAAAAGAAATTAATATAATTATATCAAAATATAAAACTAGTCATATATATATATATATATATATTTTTTTTTTAAATCTCTAGGAAGTAGGTGTAATTTTTATTTGAATAAACTACCAATAGATCTAATAGTTGAATTTAATTCCCATCAAGTCTTATTGAAAAAAAAATCCTAATACAATCATCGGTAAAAATAAATTTTTATGACGATTTTTTACATATGTCGCTAAAGATTGATAATTAGTGACTTTTTTCACGATTTTTATTAAAACTTACAATTAGTGACATTTTTCTGTGATGAATTTTTCAAACTGTCATTAAAAATTGAAAATTAGTGACTTTTTTTTAAACTGTCGCTAAAACTTATAATTAATAACATTTTTTGTGACAATTTTTAAACTATCTCTGCAAATTAACAATTAGTGACATTGTTTAATAGTATATGATAAAAAAATCATTAATTATCATAAGACTTATTTGACAATAAATTCACTTAGTAGGATCTACAGACCAGTCCCCATTTTTTTTTCCCACCTTAATACAAAATCCTTCACATAAAAATCCTCTCAAGCAAAATAAGTTTTGTTAAGGATTTCCGTTGGAACATTTATTAACTCGCTTAAAATGATAGATAGTTTATTCTACCTTTTGTTGTGGGAGGCTAGAAGATCGCATGATGGTTTAATGGCTTAAATCTGATAGGATAAATTATAGTCACATACCTTAAGGTCTAAAAAAAATACAATTAATCTCATACTTTTAATATAATTACACTGATATCTTTTAAAATTTTAATTCATATGATAATTAAATCATTTTTTTATCAATAATTTATTAATTGTGCGTATGCAAAAAAATGATATTTGCTTGAAGAAAATAAAAACAAGTGAAAGATATTGTGATTGCATCTTCTCTCTAATTGTCCCATGCCCTTTTTCATAAACCAGCAACGTGACATTGATCTAAATTGTTACTTTTGCATGCAATTCCCACATTTCGCAAAGATGAATAAACAAGTTTATATAAAGGAGCACTATAAGTATTTGCTGCAAAACAAACCAAATTCCTAGAGCTCAACTCATTAAAAGTTTATTCGAAATCGGCTCATTATGTAAAAGAAAGCTAAATTTGAACACTTAAGTTCATAAGCTAAGAAAAAACTAAGTTACTTAATCTTGAGTCATGTTTGGCTCGTTACAAACTCGTTCAAGACTGCCTTGTTATGTAAACAAGCTAAACTTGAATACTTTTTGAAACTCTTAAGTTTTTAAGCCAACCATAAACAACATACCAAAGAGGCTCTTTTGGAGATCTATTAACTAATCCATCAATCAACCTTAGTACCAGCGTCTAATACCTTTATCCATGGCTAGGCATGTCAAGGGTTCTGTGTCCGCCAGGGTTAATTAACTCATAGTAAATGTTTCATGTATAAAATTCACCAAGCAAAGATTGCGAGCAACAAAGTTCATCACAACACAAGCAACATATTTTCGGTATACATGCCATGCTATTTCCCTTAAAATGGATGATAATTATTGGTCTGTAATGATGGAATTTCCTTTGAAAAGATTATACAACTTCTAACCATTTGCACAAATAAAAAGAACTATATATCCAAGTGATGCATCAATGGCAGAGGATATCTTAAACCAACTCTTACCAATGAAGCATTCCAAGTTGGAGGATTATTTTCGGCTGGATTCAATTTATTGTCTTAGTACTCTGTTTGAGCTGAACACAAAATTCTCTTCACCAGCAATGGTGGAATTGAGCCTTCCCGCAGCCCAACCATTGTTCAATGCACGTGCAGCAGCAAGGGCTGGATCGCCAGTCACACGACTGCCATCAACATGTTTCTCAAATTCTGGAAGACCATTTGCCTTCCTTTCTTTCCTTCTCTTCCTTGCCTCATCTCTTTCTTTCCTCAGCCACTGTTCTACAGTTCTCTGCAAATGCAATAACCACAAAACCAAACGGACAAAGTAGTATATCAATGTAACACGATAGAATTTTGATAAACCCAACTCCAATCAATATTTACAGCACATCACTTATGTAAATAAAGTTGACAATAATTTAAAGTTTTAAAACTAAATTTATAGTTGTATTCCTAAAAACCAGTCTTTTTTTAATATGAAGGGATGTGTCCCTAATGGAAAGACACTAGAAGAGAATGTCTATGCAAGGCATTTTAACCCTTTAATTTTCTACACCTCAAATAATATATCTGTTCTTCCTCTTTTTCCCACAATTTTTTATGTTCTCTATTATTTTTATATTTATATTATGTATTTTGAGCAACTTTGATCACAGATGACGGTTCAAAAACCATTCCAGTGTACGCAAACATTAGAAAGACTGATAGTGATTTGGGTATTTTTAGACACCCCATTTTTGACCGACCTTAAGACTCAGATGTCATTGATTGAGCGCTCGGTGATATTGTATATTGTGCTCGTTCAGAAGTTTCAGAATCCCGGCTGCAAGCCTTACCTCCGGACTTCCGGACTCTTTCGTGCCTTGCCTCAGTTTGCAAACCAGGCTCTGTTTTCTTTGTTTTCTCTTCCCGAAGGAAGGGAGAGGTCTCGTAGATCATCTCTTAGTGGCCGTAGGCTACATTTCGTGGTCATAGGCCATTTTTCCTGTTTGGAGCCCGGTTTCCGATTTTTTCGGAGCTGTTGGCCGTGTGCCTCAGTTCGGGACTGCTTAACCACCTCCGTTTGCTCCAGTTTTTGGCATGCATCTTCTTTGCTCCCTTTTCAGGGACACTGTGGCTCGAGGGACCAACTTCGTGGTCGAACACCACTTCCGGTGTCTAACAGTCAGTTTTCGGGGCCTCGGGCTGCGCGTTTCGGCCCCCGAACCTTCATTTTGCATCGGTTTGAGTTCATTTTTGGCAGGGACTTCTGTTTCATTGTTAGGAAGGTCGTAGAAGGGTGGGAGGCCAACAATTGTTCTGACAACCAGTTTTATTCTCCATCGCCCTCCGTCGCCCGTTTTTCTCGCTTGAAAGCCAATGTTGACCACCCTAAGGCCACTTTTTCCAGCCCTAAACCACATATTTGTGTTGTACACACCTGGGAGGCCACCAATATCACATGGCCGGCCAGTAATTGTGTTTGCCCCTTTTGAACCCCTCCAAAAAGTGGGCTTTTCTCTCTCCTGGTTTACTTTCTCCAGTTTTTGACCATATGGTTGTGTTGTGCACACATGGGAGGCCACCAATCTGGGGTGGCCGGCCACTAATACTTCTTGAGCCTTTTGACCCTTGGCCGGCCGGCCATAGGGAGGACCGGCCGGCTACCTGCAACTTCAATACCCGGCCGGCCATGATCCCCACCTCTAGTACATTACAAATATGTATTCTGTTTCCCCCCAGATTGTGTATCCGAGGGGCTGCACTTTTGGGGGAAAATTTGAATTACATTCCCCCCCTTTTTTTCCCCTCTTTTGCCAATATAACCAGCACCCCCAGCTGTGTTTTGAGGGGTTACAAATTTTGCTTTAAGGCTCTTGCATTGTATCTCTCTCTCTCTATACTCCAACCTTCAAAACCTCCCAAACCCTACATCATTTCTACACCACCACATAGCACCACACCACCACCATCCATTCCAACCATTTGGAGCTGTTTTCCAGAGCTAAGGAGCCACCAAACTTGGTCCAAGAGTTGGCAAAGATTTGGTCTTCAAGGGTAAGTCTTCTCCTCCCTCTTTCTTGCCTTATTTTGCTCAATATATTAGCCATACTTGCTTGCATATTTGGGCTACGATCCTAACTGAAAATAGCATTATTTTGAAC